AAGTTTAGGAGATTGTGAATTTATATATGCTTGAGAAATTGAGATTGTGTATTTATTTATTTAGGTTGTGAATTTATATTTTTGTGAATGCTTGAAAACTTGCGGTTTTAAACCGCTAATTCGCGGTAACCGACCGCATTTTGCAGTTTACCGCAATGCGGTAAACCGCAAAACGAGGTCGGTTTGCGGTTTCAAAAATCACCAAACCGCAAATAGTCGGTCGGTTTGCGGTTTGAGTAAAAATTTGCGATTACCGAACCGCAACCACCCATAATACATAGGGCCGTGCCTTACTAGTTATATATAATGTGGGTTAGTCTTTGGGGTTGTTGAGCATTGAAAAGTCTTTGGATACAAATTGGGCGCAAAAAGCCTGTTGCTTGTGCTCTTGGATAAGTTATCTTTCACCTCAATGGTTGTTCTTACAATGCTGGAGTCAAAGTCTTTGTCTCTCGTCCTTTATAGTTATAGTTAAATAACTTCGTGGGACTGCTTGCTTGCATCTCAAAAGCAGTCCACTCCCTCTCTGCCGTGCTCTCTCTCCCTTGCTCTTTGGTGTGACACAAGCACAAGTGCACACACTCCTCTCTGCCAAGCCTCCTTATTAAATAGGAAAAGCAGAGACAAATAATGCAAAGCATTATTCAATCACCAACACAAGCCAGCCAAAAGCACCAGACAACCAAATATCCCCTCACATGCCAATTCCACTTTAATGCATTAAATAATGTCAATAAAAGCCATGGCAATTTCCACACTTGCCGACAAGCATTTGCAGCTTCCCCGTTTTTTCCCCTTCCTTTTCAGCCATCAATTATTGGTCATGCATGCATATCCCATACATGCATCCGTGTGCTTTCATGAGGGAAAAAATACCAGCCTCCCATCTTGGGAAATGATTCCAATAAGGAGGGATTTCCAACATACCGTACATAGGAATAGGAATGCGTAATTCCTGGTTTGTTTGATCGTTTATTGGATAAATTCATTTGATTATTGTGCTCCTCCGATGCCACTACCGATATTAGCTTGCTTGCTTTGTAGCTATTTCTTCAGATTTTTTTTATTTAAAAAATCGGTTATTTGGGGTGTTAAAAAAAAAGGCTAAAGTTTTGAAATTTTGCCCATTGTTTTTTTATTTGAGAAAATTCAGGATACTAACATTTTTTTTTTTTTTACAGTTTAAAGGTACCATGTGGGCACTATGAGGGCAAATTGGTCAATTTGTATCTTATAAATAATTAAAAACTGAAAAATAAAATAACATAAAACATATGCACAAAAAAATAAAATAATTATAATAAAAATAGACACTTTGTATATACGTGATTGTAAAAAAGATTTAAATGAAGTTGTAAAAAAATTGCAATACATGAGTCAAATTTTGAGAGAAAACATTTTTTCAAGTAGATATATAGTAATCTATATTATTGGGCATCAAAAGTTGACTACATATTCACTAAATATTTATACATTTTGCATCATGGCTATATTAGTGTATATTGATTTAGGTTATCAAATTGAAGTTACTGATCTATATAAAAAAAACTGAAATTTTTTATTTTATTTGACATTTTCTCAAACCTCATGAACTATTTGTGATAATAAGCTTTTACGGGAGTTGATTTTCCCACTCCCTTTTTTCTCCACTTACATTCCCTTTTACTTTTTAATACTTTTTAATCAATTTTGTTCTTTTTTATTCTTTCTATTTCCTATTCAACCCTTATCCATATAAAAGATAACGTTCAGTAAAAATAATAATATAAAAGTGAAATAAAAAGAAATTAATGTAGGATAAGGGTAAAATAGGAAACACTACAAAACAGAAGCCCTTTTGCGAGGGCATTTTGTCTTTGCAAAAGGCCTTTTGCCGTCGCAAATATCTTTTTTCGACGGCAAAAGTCCGTCGGCAGTCGTCGCTAAAAGCTCAGTTGCAAATACTTCATTTCCGACCATTCCGTCAGAAATAATGTATTTCCGACGCTCATGCGTTGTAGCTATTGCTTAAATTTCTATCGGAAATGGATTTTTAAAACGACCCTACATATTTATTTCCGACCGTACATGTGGTCGTAATTACTTATTTGATTGTCGGAAATAGTTCTTTTATCGTGATTTTTTGTTTTTGTGAATTCATATTTTCAACCAATGAGTGTCGTCAGAAATACTTTTTCCGACAATGATATATTATTTGTGAGGGCTAGATTTCGTCGCAATTATCATTACCGACCAAAAGAGTTTGTGGAAAATATATAATAGCTCGTCGGAAAAGAGTATAAAAATATATTTTCGATGGGCAAGTTACGTCGGAAATATATATTTCCAACCATATTTATTCGTCGCAAAGTTTGTCGCAAATAGATTAATCCTGTCGGAAAATATTTTCGACCAACAAGTGGTCGGAAATATAATTGTTTCGACCCGATTATGTCGTGGGGAATTTTGTCGGAAATAGGCAATTATTGTCGGAAACTATTTCCGATGATAAAGTGTTTGTTGGAAATATGCATTACCAAGAGGGAAATGCGGTCGAAAAATGTAATTATTTTATAAAAAAAATTAATAAAAAGAAATTTGAATTATAATATTTGCTAGAAATAGTTTTCTAATCATCCGTATTTAATTGGTAATAATAATAAAAAAAATCATACGACACCATACTGTACTAAAATTTTATGCATTCAATTAAAATTATTCTAAATAGTTAAGACATAAACAATCCCCATCATCCTTAAAACATATATGCAATCCGCAAATTTATCAAAACTTTGAAATTCAAAATACATATTGTAGCAAAATACAATTGATGTTGCACTACTCGTCTTCGAGGTGAGCATCTGAACAACTTTCTACATTGTCCTGTCGAATAAAAGATAATAATTAATAAGACATAAATCATTTGAGAATAAAAATAACAAATACAATATTTAACAGTGAGCAAAATATTGAAAGGAGAAAGAAAAGAGTTCACCATTAAAGCAGATTGTCTTGAGCGTATTAAACAATGAAGTTTGTTAGGACCAAATTTGGAAATAACCACAAAAGGAACAGTCAACAAAAAGCAACAACCAAATGGATATTTTTACCTCATCTTTTCTGTACTTTTCCATTGGAACAGAACCTGTGGTATGCACAACTGTGGATTTCGCTCTATTAGACTTGTTTCTTTTACTTTTATCCTACATGAAAAAAGTAAATCATAACCTAATATCAACTTAGTGAACCCATATAAGGCATCTATAAATAAAACAAAGCACACACTAGCCAGTCATAACAATATTATTTTAAATTGAGTTTTTACCTGCCATGTAGGCTGCAACCAATGATCAACCAGTTTAGACCAAACATCTTGAGATATCTCTAATGGGCAATGAGTGTATCTATCACTAGTAGTCTTGTATTTCTTAAAAACGCTATTTCTCAATGCGGACATCCAATCGGAATATCGCAATTTAATATGTTGTTCGAATGCCTCCCTCATCTCTTCTTCTGAGCACGTGTGTGTATATCTTGTTGTGTTAAAGCGATCATACAGTAAATCCATTTGAGTTGATGGAAATGTTTTAAATGTTGGCCATGCTCCATCGATAGCCTGATAAAAAAGCACTCCTATAAAAAAGCTCCAGTGGTTATAATCCTGAAAAATTTAAACCAAATTTAAATAAATAAATAAATAATCTACACGAGAAATGAAAATAAATAAAAATGAATCTACACGAGAAATGGCTAACTTTGTAGGCCTTATACATTACCTTCCTCTACGTATTACAATTGGAGTGCCATTTCCATCTTTACCCTTAGCCTTCCCTCTACCTTTTTTTATTCCAACAGTTGAACCTAATAAGAAAAATATATATATATATTTGAAGTACAAGGTATAAAAAAAACTAGCTATAGGATCATATATATAAAAAAATAATTATCATGTGAAGGTTCAGTTTAAACCTCATATATATATAAATAAAAAAAATTACCTTCTTCATTTGATGGTTCGGTTTCAAGGGGCATGTCTTCCATTTCATTATCATGTGATGGCACATGTTGGTCTAAGGAAGGTCTAGATGACTGAGGATGTGTAATGTTGGATGCTTTATTCTGATTCTTTCTCTTTCTTGCCCTGGCTACAATTTATAATAGAGCAAAAAATTGGAAATTAATTGAGAACTAATCATATAATTGAAATATATATATACACCAAAGAAAATTCAAAATTCAAAATAAATCATACATGTTTCTTGCATTTCGTTATCATGTGATGACTCATTGGAAATATGGCGATCTAAGGAGAGTCTAGATGACTGAGGATGTGCAGTGCCTGATGCTCTATCTTGACTCTTTCCATTTCTTGCCATGGCTAA